CTGAGAAAACCACTAGGGGGACATTCTGAGCTTTCAATTGGTTATTCATGTCATATATAGAAGTGTTATATAAGTGACAGTTTCCAAAAATGGAAAGAGGTGGGCTGGGGGAGCCACTGTGTTTGATGCAGTACAGGAGCAATATCTTAGCAAATGGAAAAGATAAGATGTTCTTATTTTATATTCTAGCTTATCGGTAGTTTGAGTTCCCAATTCGTATGAAACTATAGATTTTGTATTTTGACATCTAAAACGTCTAATTTGAACTAGTGCTGCATTCAACATACCATGTAATACACAAAAATCGATATTTAGCTGTGTTTTTTTTAATACTAACTTTTAAATCAAGAAATTAACTGAAGTATAATATTAAAATTTGAATTATAATCTACAATTTGATACCAAACTTATTGACAAGCATTAATAAAATAGTAGTTCAATAACATTTCGAATATGAGTTTACAAATGTGGTGACATGGCCTTTTACACGTGACCCATCAAGATAGTGTTAATGTTACATATCTTTATACAATCTAGAGTGAAAAGAATTCAGATTCTGATTGAATAAAAGTTGAGGAAGAAATTAAAGTAAAAGTATCCAAAAATTATTTATTTTGTGTTTATTAACTTCACATGTATGTTGTTGTATAATGTCTAGATATTTTCTGGATGTCTGTGAAAATCCTGAAAAGTTATTGTGATTTTTAAGGATGAAGAATGTCTTCGACCAGGAGATGCAACAGATGTAACGTTTTTAGATAAACTGGAGACAACTGTAGGGACACACCCACACTTCTTGTCCTACAAGGTAGCAGACAACAAGACAAAAAAATCTTTATATCGAGAGGTATTTACATTTGCAGAGTATAAATAATTTTATAAGTTTGTATTGTAACTGAATTTGTAAATTATTTGGTGTTATTAAGCTTATTGATGTTGTTTTTATAATTGTTTTCAATCAGTGAACATTTTTAATTTTGTACTTAAGCATTAATCAGAATTTCAGCTGCACATCACTAAAAATTCTTAAATATTATCTTTATATTGGAATGATATGGAGTAAATTCCTTACCAAGTTTTTATAACAGAAATACAGGCTTGATTGGTTAGGTATCCTAGAATTCACTGTTATACCCTGTTTATGTCCTATGCACCTATACCTATTTAACACGGATTTCTTTCTTAAAGCACAGGGATAAAAGCATTTTCGCATTATAGAGTAGTGTGTGTAACCTTACTATAAAATGGAGTAAATTAGGGTTTCTCCTTTCCACATGTTTTCCCTATCGCTGTTTTCAGGGACAAAATTGGTCATTGTACCAAGATTCTGGGATTTCTCGTTTTTTTTAATAAAGAGAGGATAATAAAAATAAATCCCAATATGTGATGTTAGCTATGCTACTTAGGTATGAAAATATAACAGTTCCAGTATAATTTTATTTAAAAAGTACTTCCACATATTATAACAAATAAAATTTATATATTTCACTTTTACCTTAAGTTAAGTATTCCATTCAAAATAAAATATTTTCTTCTTTTACAAAAAAAAAAGAAAAAAGTTAAATAATCCATTGAAAAATAGAAAAACCTTTGTAAAACAAATGAGAGTGAAAGACAGCAAAGCAAACAATCTTTTTTATTTTTAAAGTAACCCTTTAGAAAGGAAAGACAATTAATACTGTGGTCATTTAGTTTCATTCTCATCTTGATTATAAAGAGTCCTACATCTGAAAATTCTCTCTCAGACTTTATGGATGTCGATGGAATGGACATCAAAGCATCAAGAATTAGATCCTGATTTTGTGTTTGTTCTTCAATTGCGTCAAACACATTAAACTCTTTTCTGAGATGATTACTCTTGTTTTCATCAAAGTGTTTCCTTGTCTGAACCTTTTCTGTTGCAGTGTCAAATTTTTCTGCAAGTGTCATTGTTTGATGTTGTGATGAAACATTGTATGCAGGATCTGATTGAGAGTGAGACTCTCTGGAATATTCAGCTGTCATATGATCAAACATTCTTGCTAGTATCATTTTTGACAGTGCTAATAATGTTGACTTTGTTGCTAATGCTAGTAGCACTCCTTGGCCAATTTCGTGATTATTGTATAGCTTTCCACAGTTCAAGTATTTCATAAGGCCAACAAATATTTTGCTCCTCTTTTCTTTGATTCTTTTGTATAGAGATTCCTTTGCTCACTTAGGTCATCAAGAATAAACATAAATACTCCCTCTGCACTTAAAAGTGTTGCTCCTCTGCTTCCTAACCTCTCTGCTCCCGTTTCTACTGGCTGTATTGTAGACACTATATCACTTATTGCTTCAAATTCCCTTTTGGTAATATTCTGCTCGATTCCACAGTCGACCATACCTTTAGCAAAAGATATTTTCATCTCCAAGAAATGCTGTAACATATTCAACAAGCTCTTCCACTTTTTTTTTTATTTGAGTTTCAACATAAGTTCCTTACCATGTTCACTTTTAACATATTTTTGTAGATTTTCATTTTCCAGCAGAGATTTTCTAAACATTCTCACAGTTTTGTTTATTAATGACTGTGGAGATACTTATATCACTACATTCATCTCCATGAATTTGTTAGCATCCATTACCAAATCATCCATTCCCATATCAATTGATGTGTTAAATTCTTCAACTGATTCACCAGACTCATCTGTTGATGCCTTGATGTCTAAAAACATGTCACTTTTCTTGTACAAAACATCACATACACTTAAGTGTATTTCATGAGCATAACACATGTGATGATGAGTTTAACATTGACTGTTGATTAACCTGCCAAGTTTAACCATTACACTTGCACCATCTGTAACACATGCTACTATATCTATTTCTAATGAAAGATTAAATTCAGCTAACTTATTTTCTACTGCCGGCAAAGAATCAAAAATCCTCACCATTCCTAAATTCCAAAACGTATCACCTTCATGTACATTAGTATTCAGGTAATGATGGTTTTTTAGTGATGTATTATCGTCAAGAGACAGACTAAACCTGGACCTTCCATTTAACCTTGTGTTAATTTTTAAACTTATGCACTCTAAAGCTATATCATATGTCTTGTACACAAGATCCATAACATGACTCAGATTTTCTGGCAATCAGAAACTCTTTTCCAATAATGATTTTCTAATGAACTCACTCTTTGTTATGGTGTTTATCAAAAAATCCATCCAAAGCTGCAAATTAACCTATAATTTCTTCTTTTGTTTTCTTCCTCATGAATGTAGTTATTTTATGTTGAACAGACTTCTCTATTAAATGACTTGATTCACTGTCATCTTCAGCAGGATGTTTGGTTGTAGCAGGTCTCTCGATTGAATATTTATTCCTTAAATGATGAAACAATCCACTGGTGGACCATCTTCTGCACAGAATTATTGCATTACATTTTCCAGATTTTTGTTTTTAAGTTGTTCAAAGTATCTATTACTTCTTGTTGCATACTGTTTGTTAATTGAGAGTGGTCAACTTGTAAGTCTGTGATTATCTACAATGATGGAAATATGGTATAAAACTTGAAAAGGTGAACCTGTATGGATGGAAGCAATGAAGTACAATCAAGCGTGATAAACACACAGACACACCCTCACTTGATGAGGGAAAGACCAAGGAGTTAGTATTGGTTGTGCATCTACATATTTTGATAAAGCTTCTGTAAAGATCCTTACTGTATATTAGGACAGACAGACACACACACAAATGTTTAAACAGACTATATCTGTCATACAGCAGTTGGGTATCTCAAATGTTTCTCTTGATAAAAAAAATGTAAAGAAACTCAATAATATTAGCACTTTTTAATGCTCAGCTTATTGGGTTTCAGGTACACTTTAGAGGAATACTAATTTGGGATGGGGTGGGAGGTCAGGCGCTCCATACAAAATTGCTCAGATTATCAGGTTTCAGACTTGCCATACAATAATGCTTGGGATTTAGTTCCATCTTGTTAGAGTGCTTGGATTATTGGGTTTTATTCCACAATGATAAAGTGCTTGGATTATTGGGTTTGATTGCACTTTGCTAGTGTTTAGATTGTTATGTTTCTTTCATTGCATTAAACTACTGTCATAGTCCTGGATGTGTCTATGTTTTGCCTTAGAAGGAAACATCAATAAACCTTGTAGACTATAACTGGAGAGTATGCTAGCACTCTCTATGTAGGAATGGCACTAATGCCTATATTAAAGCAACACAAAAATAATCTGGATTTTCTTCTCTACAAGTTACCAGAACTAGGTATGAAGAGCTACATGGCATAGTCACTCCATTTCCAGTGTATATGCCACTTTTCAGCTATCCAGAGTGTCCCAAAGTCTAAAACAGGTGAATAGCCAAAACCAAGATAGCTTATTTTCGTTCATCTTCATCTTTCTTCAACAGGCCTAGCTCCTACCTAGTTCTAACAGTAACTGCAATGTTATAATCATTTGATAGAGCAAAACAGTCTTCATGATTTTTGACTATCTATTTTATTAGTATTGTATGCACAATTTATAAAGCTTTAGAATACACTCTATAACCTAGTAACCCGCATATGTCACCATGTAAAAAAAGTAAACAAGTATTAAAAAACAAAAAATCACTAAATAAAAAAAACTATGAAGCTACTAAACTTGAAAAAAGGAACCAAACAAGATAGGGATAGAAGTGGTCACTTGATCTGGCTTATGATTGCATAGCAGAATAAACTTTACATAGAGAATAAAACCACTACCTTAGTGGCTTCCTTACTGGCAAGACAAATAGAACCAGAATTTCCAATCATAAAATGTTTCTCTGTTGTAAAAGTCATAAAAGTGGTATTCCAAACTTAAGGAAAGATATAATGATGAAAGTTGAGATTCTATTCAATCACCAAGTTTTCGACAAACAAAGTGGGGAAGCCAGTAATGCAGGGATTTTATTCTCCATGTAAAGCTGAGGCAACTTAGTCTGCTATATAATCATTAGCTGGATCAAGTGATATGTCCACTTCCATCCCTATCTTGTTTGGTTCTTTTTTTTCAAGTTCAATAGCCAGCCATACGTAGCTTTTTTTATTTAGCAATAATTTTTTTTAAATACTTGTGTTTATTGTTAGCAGTATTGGCAATGACTCATGCAGTGAGAAAAATACAATGTTAATATGAATAGTTACGGTTTTTAATTTCATCACTTTTGCTTGTACTTTTATCTTTGTTTTAACACCATATTGTTCATTTTCAGGAATTCAGACTCAAACACTATGCTGGAGATGTGACATACAAAGTAGAAGGTAAGTTATTTTATCATTATCAAAAGGACTGACTTATTCAAATTTCTTTCTTTTTTTGTATTTGAAGTTCTCATTTCCTGTTCTTGATATTTTAACACAGAAAATTGTGTATTTAGACTTCAATTCCAAAGTTTTCTAGAAGTCTTTCAAATTTCATATTTTTGTTTCAAAGTGTAGATGGACTGTTCGTAACTGGAAACCCACAGTGACTCGGCAATATGTCTGAAGGCTTATAACACTAAAACAGGGGTTTGATACCTGTGATGAGCACAGCATAGATAGCCTATTGTGTTGCATTGTGCTTAACAACAAACAAACAAATTGTAACTAGTGTGTATTTTACTTCCATATTTGGTCGTGTTGTCCGTGTACTAGTCATAATTAGAAATTGTAGCTTAATAAGTATTTGCTAGTATTGTCTGTAAAGGTCATTTTCTGCTGAAAAAGACGTCATTTTCCTTTTTTTCTGGTTAATATTGTTTGTAAAACATTGATTATTGGTTACTGTTCTCTGTAAAACACTCATTATTGGTTTCTGTTTTTTGTAAAACAATCATTGATTACCAGTGGTTAAAGTGGGGTGGCATGTATATTAGTAAAGAAAAAACTTTAAGTATAATATATTTGACTTAAGTGTCTTTACAACTGTTGTGTGAATGTTTCACCTGTTATCAATATAAAAATTAATACTAGTTGTTTTTGTCTGTAATATTCCAGGATTTCTGGACAAGAATAATGACCTTTTATACCGGGATCTTAAAAAGGTAATATTTCTATGTATATACCATCAAGAATCAGTTTGTATTTGGTTAAGAAAAAGCTACTTTTAAAGGGTTTTATGTAGAATTTAAATCGCATCTGTTCTTCATTTTTAGTTTGTTTGTTATGGAATTTATTTATATAAATGTAAGACTAACTCCAACAATAGATATGCCAGTAGATCATGATGAAGCTGATAAAACTACAGGAAATTTTGTAGGTAAAAATATAACCTTTCCCATCAGAAACAAAAATCTAAAAGATCCTGCAGCTATATCTGAATTCTTTGTTTTAGAGAAACATATTTAATTTGTAAATGATGAAATATTTGATTTGATATATTTCAGGTGGAGGATTGTACATTTTAAGAAACTTCCTCATATCATTTTGAGAGGATAGTTCAGGCTCTAACAGATCAAGATTTCTGTTAACAGATGGATAAAGCTCATCATATTGAACTCATGAACAGCTAAATGACTCAAATTATAATAGTTTTTAAAAATCTTTCATTGGTTACTGTTTTCACACTAAATACATAAAGATTTAAACCAACTAGTCATGAACTGTTGTTTGTCAATAATCACCTAAGCCTCGTGTAAATAAGCATAACAACAGTATTCACCTAAACCTTGTGTAAATATGGCTATTAACAAACCAAATCACATAAATAAGTATATAACTATTTAGTTTAGAATATTTTTGTTTTCTCTGTAACGCCTAAATAGGATCAAAGTTGGTGGTAACAGCATGACTAAGATATTTTTAGTCATTGCTACAGCATTGGTTTAGTACTGACTTATCATTGCTGAAGGTTGTGTTCAGTTCTCTACTAATATAACATAAAATACATGTGGTAGGGAGTGATTTATAATTAAATTATTTTTTGGTTTTTTTGTTATTAATCTACATTCATATTTTGCTTCATTAGGTATTGAATACACTATTATTATTTTTATTTTTCACGTTTTAAACTTGGATAACTAATGTCTGAAGATTATAGAAGTCCAAGAATTAATCCAAAGGCTCAAGCTCTTTCAGAGTGGTCATTTCATGAAATACTATCTTTCAGAAGCATTCAATGTTAGATGGTTTCTGGACATTTATAATCACTTTGTAATGATACACGATAATATCTAACTTCATTCTTTTGGAGAATTAATGGAAAATAAGAATAATTTTAATATAATGTATTTTATGAAATATGTAAAGAAATATTATAAAGGTAAAAAAAAAGAACTTTTAGATATTTCATTTTTTGTACACTGTGTTTATTATTAGAAATTATATATCTGCTTGTATGTTATTTTTGTAGGCTATGACGAAGTCTTCAAATTTAATCACAAAATGTACATTTCCTGATTGTGAGCTTACGAGCAAAAAAAGACCAGATACAGTAAGTAGTTTTTCTGTAAAATTTAGTTTTTCTTTTTGAACTGAGAGAGATATATAAATCATTAAAACATTTGATCTGAAAAATTGTAAATTAGGTTTAAAATGGTGCTCTTGTTGTTTGCACAAACAGTTTTCTTTCATATTACTTGAGATATATTCTGTTGTGCACTCCCCATCATCTTGTGTTAGTGGCTCAGTGGTAAGACTGAGGGCTTAAAATGCCAGAAATATTGGGTTTTGATACCTGTGTTTGGCACAGCACAGAAATCCCATTGTGTAGCTTTGTGCTTAACAAACAAACAAACCATCAACTTGTGTTGACTTTATGCTTTTATTTTTCTGTTGAAAATTATTAGTTGTGGGAGAATTTTGGAATATTAATCCTAGTTTAGAATATAATATAAATCTCCATATTTGCTCATGAGAAAGAAACAAGTTGTTTATCTTGAAAACATTTCTCTGTGTGATGCCTTTACCTCTGGCAGTGGGCTTGTCCCTGTTTGGGGTAGGAGGGAAAGGCTTAAAAATGTGTGAAAGAAAATAATATTTGTTTAATTAAATATTTAATGGTCACTTGTAATATATTATAATTATTAAAAGGTCGTGCCTCCTGACTTTTACAATTATAGTTTACTCATCATTTTTGGGATGGAGATGGAATATCTGATACCTGGTTTTAACTTGAATTAATCCTTTCTGGACTGGAGTGGTGTCGCTGGTATCACTTGAATTTTTTTATTTCTTCGCACACTGAAAATACTTAACCAGCTTGCATGAAACTGAGTAAAACTTGTCAAATAGCATGTAGTGTAATTTTGGCTTAAAAAAGTTAATGTAATTTAATTTAGATTTTATTTCATTTTTTTTATATTCTGAAATTTCCAAAGTTTTGTTGTGAGACTAACTTTGAAAATAATCTTAAAGATTTCATTTTGTTTTAGAATTAAAATTTTTTTTCATGATCAGAAAGTTCCATAATATATATATATATATCCTGTCAGTTTCAACTTGGTCGATATTCATTAAAATATTTCTTTATTTTACTGATTGCAACAGTCACCACTTCCACATATAAACCATAACATGCAAGAATAACAAATATTTATTTATGACCTAGCACCTGACCTTTCAAAATAGCATGAGGTCAGATTAGAAAAAAAAATGTTTTTACTAACAATATTGTTGGTCAAGATTAATTTATATCTAATAAATAACAAGTTCTTTTATTTATATGCATTGTTTGAATATGATGAATTTAATGATAATATTTAATAAATAAGGATTGGAATGTACAGAATAATTTTCTATTGTCTACATCACTGGTGAAAACCATCTACTTTTACCTGATGTCTTATCACAGAACATTTTTGTAGATTTCATACAGATATAATCTAATGTGAAAAATATTTTCAAGAATGAAAATAATGTCTATAGAAACTAGAACAAATTTCTAAAATCTTTCATTTCTTATAAAGTTTTCTAAATTTCCTATTAAATTATGTTGTTCTCTGCAGGATTTATGCTAGTTACTTCTCACACCATTTTATTCACTCTGTATTGCCCTGTCCAATGCTATTTCAACTTTGTGTGTGTGTGGTTATTGTCAAAGCTGAGCTTCACTAGTAAATGTTCAGGTCACTTGCTGTGAGATATTAAAGGGTGGGAATAAAAACCTGTAGTAATAAAACCAGCGAAAGAGAAGATAAAATGTGTTAGAAAGAAAACAAGGTCAATTATATTCTCTAGCTTACACATGGAACATTTTAAAAAGTATCTGTAAGTATATTGTTCACAGACATGAATTAAATTTTCAACTTTCTTTTCATTTTTATTTATAAATCACACTAAATAAAGGTCACAAAAAACAGAATATACTTCTAAAATATTTCGAAGTAAACATTGTTGAAATAGTTAAATTATTATTTTTACATAAATTTAACAATTTGATATGTAGGTGTGCACTTGATACCTGAAGGATGCTCTGCAGTCTGGATGGAGCTATAAAATATTTTTTATTTGTTTTATAATGAAGCTTTCTCTAGCAAGTCACAACAAAGATGATGATTTGATTTGTTGAAATATTGCTATTGATCACACAGATATATCAACATGTATGTTCTGAAGTAACCAGAATGGAAAATTAGTTTATATCAGCTGACAACAATACTGGAAATGTTTCTGAGTGAAATTATAAAATGCCCCCAGTGGCTTAGCAACAAGTCTGAAAGCTTTATAATGCTAAAAACCAGATTTTGATACCTGTGGTGGGCACAGCACAGGTAGCCTATTGTCTAGCTTTGTGCTTAACAACAACAGACAAACAAACAAACAAACATATTGGACTATATAATATAGCAAAATAAAAAAAGTTGCAAAAGACAGATGTTTAAAAGCAACGTTGGTTATATTTCAGGTAGCCACTCAGTTTAAGAAAAGTTTATCTCAACTAATGGACATCCTTATGTCCAAAGAACCATGGTACATCCGCTGCATCAAACCAAATGATAACAAACTGTCGGGTAAGTTGACCAATCATAGCATTCCTAGTAGAAGAGAAATAGCTGCTACAATTCTTTGTGTTGTTGTTTTTTCAAATATAAATTCTCTTTACTGACTCAGTTATATAAAAATAAATAGCTTTTAATACCCTGTGTTATATTTTAATAATACTACAAAGATTGAAATTTCTGTGCTAAATAGGAGCTTGATCCGTTTGCCTGAAGAGTTGCATCTAAAGTAGATGATTTTAAAAAACTATGTATAACAAGTGTTTGATCATGTATGAGATTCCACTTGGTTAACAATCTTTACTGTTACCTTTCCTGAACTGACATAGCCTGGTATATATTGATAATAGGTTGTGATAATGTTAATGTTTCATGAAGTGTGAACTAATATATTTTGTATCTTAAACAATTTACAAAATCAAAACATCAAGTTTGAGCTGCGCAGCTTCAATGGAAAAGCTTACATGTAGACTCCCAACTATAACACTGACTTTTTTCAGTACTGGATAAAAAAGAAACAAATTCCAAGTGTACAGCAGAGAAAGTTAGTTACATACATTATCTAAATAACTCTGCCCCCATTCTCCAGGTAGGAAGTGAAATCCATTATAGGGCTATAGCGTTGTTTAAAAGATAATTCAGGAATAGATCCTACTGACATTGAACCTTTAGTAAGCTGGTGTTAATTTGGAGGTGAATAACATTGGTGTACTTAGGTGTTTGTTAGTTCAGGTGAAATGTCAAACTGGAGCTCTTATGGTATCTCAAACTTCCTCAAACATCATAACTTAACTGGAAATATCAAACACCAACATCCACCAACCAGAGCTTTCTTGTAACATGTCCACCTTCCTCAAACAGCATTACTTAGCTGGAGAAATCATACTAACACAAACAGAAGCTCTGTTGTGGCAAGTGCATCTTTCTAAAACATATTACTTGACTGAAAACTTACCAACACCAACTAACTAAAGCTGTTTTTCAGTTTGTACACCCTCATGATGTAACATTACATAAGTAGTGATGTCATATAACAACATTTAACAATTGAAGATCCCTAACAAGTCTTTGCTGCATTTGTCACATTGATCACATACATACCACAAATGAAGAATCACACCAGCTCAGCTTCAGCACAGAAATGGAAACACCAGTCAACTTTTAAATTGTAGGTATGTGCAATCTGTAGAAGATTCATTGCCAGACCTTAAGTGTTTAATATAGAAATTGATAATTTGTGCTAAATAATCCTCCAAGTACTTGCAACTAAAGTAAATGGTAAAATTCTTTGGGTACTAACAATTAAAGCAAGATAATCAGATCCTCTTGGTATTAGCAACTAAAGCAGGGTTATCAAATCCTCTGGGTACTAGTGATTAAAGCATGTTTTTCAAATCCTCTGGGTACCAATGACTAAATCAGGATGGTCATATCTTCTGGGTACTAAAAACTAAACAGGATTATCAAATCCTTAAGGAACTAACAACTAAAATTCTTTAAAAGATTGATTATCTAATAATAACAGTGTTAAATAATTTTGTCTTGTAAAACTATATTGTTTATAAATATCACTTTGTGTTAAAATGTTTACATTTTCCAGCTCAGTTTGATGACACAATTGTAGGACATCAAGTAAAATACTTAGGCCTTATGGAAAATTTGCGTGTTCGAAGAGCAGGATTTGCCTATCGACGTCCTTATGAAGATTTTCTTAAAAGATATAAGTGTCTGTGTCCAAGCACTTGGCCAGACTATCAGGGCAATGCTATAGATGGGGTGGAGAAGTTGGTAAATCATCTAGGTTACAAATCTGATGATTATAGAATGGGAAAGTAAGTTATTAGCATTAATCTTTATAAAACATTATGAAAACTAGAGAAGAGAAGAAGTAATAAGATTACGAGTGACTTAATTTTCAGAATAAATAGCTTAAAACTAATGTTTCAGCTTATGCCTTTCTTTGAGGTACACCATTTGTCTGTTTAGTAAGAATCAATAATTATTGAAAGAGAATATTTTAACAATATACACTGTAATTTTAGACATAGTACCACATATCATTCATATGGTCATGTATTTTTGTTGGTTAATAATGCTAGAATGAAATTATAGCTGAATAATATTAATTTACGGGCCAGAAACATTAGGTTAGTAGGTAAACCCAAAACCAAGAAATCAAAGCAAAAAATTAGGTTTTAAAAAAATCAACAATAAATTCAAATTAGCATAGCTCAGAATATCAAAGGCAATTTAAAGTGGTCAACTTTTACATTTATTGATTGATGGTTTAAGTGATGCAACTTCTTTGTGGTTTCTCTCAATGAACTTGTAATATCACTTAGATAAAAATTTAATAGGAAAAGGGGTAGGTGTGAGCTTGTGGTATACTGTGTTGTGTTACATGTTTTATAGTAGTTTTCTTATCTGTGTATTATGAGGAATGAAGTTAGCATTATTTCTTCCTAGAGATCCAGCCATCTATTGGCAGTTAATTATTTCATGACATACAAATAACTTATCATTTGTATGTTAATATTGACTTACAGATATACTTAAAGCATGTGCAGTTATCTTTTTGAAATTTTGTTTGTTTGTCATAAAGCACAAAGCTACACAATGAGCTATCTGTGCTCTGCCCACTGTGAGTATCAAAACCTGGTTTTTAGCACTATAAACCCTATGAATTTCTGCTAAGCCACCAAGGAACCTTTTCTTAAAGCCTAAGCTATATTGTAATTCAACAGTCATGTTATCTTGAAAGTACAAGGTGTTTCTTGTTGATTGGTTTGTTTCGTAGAGTTATATGAATTATTGTAAAAATACAACATTAGTATATCTTAAGCCCCAGTATATAAATAGTTTGCTGTTGAATTAGGTAAGGGCTGGTTAGAATGCATGTAAGTAATGTATGTAGGGCAGCCTTCCATGTACAGACTAATTTACAATCTACTGGTGCCTGATATTAATAATGAGATGAGTATAGTATTGAAGTGCCCTTAGTGTTATTGTGTTGTGTATCAGGTAGAAATAACCAGTTCCAAGTGTTCACAATGTCTCTTTGTTGAGTCGAACTAGTCAAAGGTGATGTAGATGATCTAGTGCTCAAATGCTATGAAAAGACAGATCAATGTTCTGTTGAAATGTGTAGGATGTTCCATCATCAATAGAATTCTTCCTTATGCTTGTAACTCATTTGCCTATCTATTATTATATTAGCATAATATGCTTCCTTGCTCAAGTATGCTAGGAGTCATCACAATGTCCTAATCTAATTTCTCTGAAGCGTTCTTTCATTTGTCAAGTTTCACCAGTATATTACATTTGATTTAATATATAACATTTTGAATAACAAAATTGTCAACACAACCAGCTTTTTTGACTGTGTATTAACTGCTTCATTGATCAGGTTGATTTAGTAGTGATATGAGAATCCATTTAAATGTTTTGCTTTGTTTATGTACCAATCGTATATTTAGTCTCATAATTTTGTTAGTCTGTGCTATACTAATTTGATTTTATTGTTGATTTAAGTTAAATATTTGCTTTGAATTCTTGGTTTTGGGTTAACCTATCAATCTAATGATTATGGTTTGTAAGTTCTTTTATTGTTTTGTCCAACTTTAATTTTGTTTTACTTAACTTTATCTTAGCAGAACTACACAACAATAGTACTTGACTGTGTGGATAACATTTGATACTTTTTTTTTTAACTGTATTCTTAAAAATGCTCCTTTGAAAAAGATATAAGCTGATATGTCTGTAATAAACTGTTCTATTCTGGAGTTTAAGTCATTTCTAAACTTAAAGCAAGTTGTATGTCATCACAAACATTATTCGTGGTTGGTCATTTAGTTAATAAATAGTCTTAATGCATGTTATCATTGTTAATATTAGGTTTGAACATTTGTAGGTTTTACCTTGTATATTTGTAGGACTACCATTTGATGAACAGAAAGTTTAAGGTCTGTTGCCTTCAAATATTCATCCTAAGAGAGACCAAAGATGATTCAAAAGATTTTTAATGTAGTTATGTTTAAAAATGATTTAAAACATTTCTAGTGTTGTTATATTTTCGATGATAATTGAAAAGATTTCTAATGTTCTCATCATTTTGAAGATGGTTCAGAAATTTTAATTTTGTCAATTGTTCAAAAATGGTTCAAAAGAGTTCTGATGTTATCTGTTACAAATAAGACACTTTTGTATACAACTAGTTACTGTTTTAAACATACAAAATACTATCTGATGCTATTGTCAATAACTGAAAATGAGTACCAATATTTTTATTTCAGAACAAAACTTTTCATTCGTCTCCCACGAACTCTATTTGAGACAGAAGATGCTTTTGAGCAAAAGAAACATGACTTGGGTAAGTCTGGTGTTGTATAATGTTCTAACATGACCTGAGTAAATCCAGAACTGTTGTATAATATTTGAAAATGATCTGAGTAAGTCCAGCACTGTTTATAATGTTTGAACATGACCTGAGTAAGTCTAACACTGTTATATAATGTTTGAACATGACCTGAGTAGGTCTAACAGTGTTGTATAATGTTTGAACTTGCCCGAGTAAGTCTAACATTGTTTTATAATGTTTGAACTTGCCCGAGTAAGTCTAACATTGTTTTATAATGTTTGAACTTGCCCGAGTAAGTCTAACATTGTTTTATAATGTTTGAACTTGCCCGAGTAAGTCTAACATTGTTTTATAATGTTTGAACTTGACCTGGGTAAGTCCAGCACTGATGTATAATGTTTGAACTGTACCTGGGTAAGTCTAACACTGTTATATAATGTTTGAACTGTACCTGGGTAAGTCTAACACTGTTATATAATGTTTGAACTGTACCTGGGTAAGTCTAACACTGTTATATAATGTTTGAACCGTACCTGGGTAAGTCCAGCACTGATGTATAATGTTTGAGCATGACCTGAGTAAGTCTAACACTGTTGTATAATGTTTGAACTTGATCTGGTTAAGTCCATTACTGTTTTTATTCTTAGTATTATTACAGAACGTGTTAAACAGTGTCAAGTATTATGAATGATGAAGTCCTGTATTAGTTATGACTTTACTCGCTAAATTTAAGAACCTCTAATCTAAATATGCACTAGTATATGCGAATGATATACATCATGGACTTCTGAATTACAGGTTAAATATATGTTTAAGAATAAAAAACAGGAATTTGTGGATTTTTCAGCCTGAAATTTCTTAAATTAAAGAGAAAATGACTGTGGTGAGAAATTGTTATATCAAAGGCTATTATTCATTCATGTTTGAGTTGTCTAACCATCTACAAACTACAGAAAAACATATTAGAAGCATATATTTTTGTAAAGTTATGACATTTATAACAGAAACAGAGCTTACATTGTTAATCTTTTGAGCCTACTTGAAGGTCATTTCCATAATATAAATTGTATTTAGTTCTATTTTGTTATGTGACAATAACAACCCCATCATTTGTTAAATGCGTTATTGTAGTATCAAGAGTCTATTTTTAAACTGGTCTGTTTTTGTTCAGAAAGAGATCTTAAGTTTCTTATCATGAAGTCCGATTTGTTGCATTCTTTTGAGAAAGTTTAGAAACTAAAGAATGTGTTTTGTTTATTCATAGCTACAATAATCCAAGCCAAGTTCCACGGTTATAGCCAAAAGAAAAAGTTCCTTCAGATGAAAATGGCAGGTACAGAAAAGCTATTTGTTATTGATTGGCATATAAACTTTTGTAGTTTTGCAATGATAGTTAGTATGTGTTCTGTAGGCTTGTATGGCTTGTGTTTCGATTCTGCACTTCATCCCCCACTATACTGGTACAGATATGTCGATGACGCTTTTGCTGGTTTCACTTCTACAGAACACACACTAACTTTCTTTAAACACATAAATTCCATTCATCCCAACATCAAATTTACCATAGAACACAAAAACAATAAACAGTTATCCTTTCTTAACCTCAAAATTATTAGATCTGAAACACAGTTTAAAACCAAAATTCACCGCAAAAACACACACACACCGGTCTCTACATCCCCTGGAATTCTGCTCATGACACCACACTAAAAAATCAATACACTTAAAAACCTCATAAACACAGCCACAAGACTCTGTTCAATGGACTACATAAATGAAGAAATTAACCACATAAAGTATTCCTTTATTCACACCAATAAATTCCCATCCGCTATAGTTGAAAAACTCTCCAACATTCCCCACAATAAAACTCAACTCACGAACAAAATTGACACTAACAAACCCAACAACAATACATTACACTGCAGTTTACCTTTTTTCCTGAAACCAGCTCAAG